AGGTAGGTAGGTGCACCAGCCCAGCACCAGCGTCCCACCGCTACAGCAGAGCTCCTGGTCATGAGCTGGCTGGTAGGGCCTTTGGGTCCTCACTTGTCTGCTTTCCATGTTGGGCTCATCACCCATGTCTGCAGAGTTCAGATAAGAGTGCAGAAAGAAGCCCAGATACCCACCATGTCTGTGTATTCTAAAGTTGTAAATCAAGTTAATGAACCGTTATATTAAATATGTCCTACCCTTGTGTCTTGACAAATACACCCCAATACCTTGGCCCGCAAGTCCAAGCTCAAGCTTAGGGCTCTCAGACGTAGCATTCTGTGCAGCAAGGAGCACCCCACCTGGCCACCGCCCCCTACCCTCCCTCCCTCTCTCCTGTACACTGCTCAGTCTCCATCTCCCAAACAGCCATGACTGACGGTCTGCCCTCAAGAGAAGGATCTGGGTAGCAGATGTGCGCATCCTGAGAGTGTGCTGAGGCTGTCTGGGCCGAATTCTGGGTCGCCAGAGTGCACTATAGAGGAAAGAGGCCCCCCAGGCGGGGTGCATGTAGCATCGGCCCAGGGCCACTTCACACCAGGAAGACCTCAGGGCAGGACTTTCTCAAGGATGGACACGGGGCGAGGCCCATTTACCAGGTGCTAACAGTGCAGACACAGACTTTAAGCCCAAATAACACCTATGTCAAGGACAGAGGCTTCACTGTACCTTCTGGTATCCATGCCAAAGCCCTATTTTAAGGGAGCAAATCTCACTGATGTCGCATTTGTGCCCCTGCCTCCTAACGCAATTCCAGACATGGAGCGGTTCTCTGCGTACTCACTGAACTGGAGTGAGTCGCCCTGCACCCCACTGGGCTGTCCTGCAGGAGGGCATCAGCCACACCCTCAGCTTCTTCTCCTTTGCCCCTCCAGTCCCAGGACCCCCCATGGGCATCCTGTTCCCGGAAGTGAGGACCACATCAGTGCGGCTGATCTGGCAGCCGCCCGCTGCCCCCAACGGAATCATCCTGGGTAAGCCCGGGCCTCTCCTGGGCCCCATCTTCAGGAAGGAGGAGGAGCCAGAGGTGTAAAGGGCACAGAGAAGGTCCAAGAGGTGTCCATGGGTCCTTCAGAGTAGAATCTGAGGTCCGGTCCTCCTGCTAGAAATTTCAGCCTTTAGCGTCGTGGTCTGGAGGGCAAGGGCAAGTTCAGATCCCTTAAGAACCCTTGGTGAGCTTCCGGTGCGTGGCCAGCTGCTCACAAACCTCCCTGCTGTTCCCTAATGCGGCCAGTGAGGGCGCACCACCCAGCTCGGCCTAGCCGCGCTGTCTGCTCTGAAAGCCCTGACAGGCAGGGAGGGAGGCTGAGGACCGGAAGCTGCCGCCCCCACTTGTACACCCAGCCTGAAGGCAGCCGCGGGGTGACTGCTTCCCCCACAGCCTCTGCCCTTCATCTTCAAAACAGTAGCATGGTGACATGAAGGTCTCGACGGGGTGGGCAGGTGCAGTGCCTGCCACACACACTGTTCCCAGCTACTCAGGAAGGTGAGGCAGGAGGATCGCAAGTTTAAGGACAGCCTGGGCACCATAGCGAGCAAATCTCCTTCTCAAAACAGTTTTAGATGAAAGAAAATAGAGAATACACACACACACACACACACACACACACACACACACACACACACAGTAGCTGGGATGACCTGTACCTGCTCTGGCCACTTGGTCCATGTCAGCCCTAGGTAAATGTTACACCTTGGAAGACATAAGATGGGGAGAGTGATGTGCTTTTTGTTTTAGTTTGGTTTGGGTTTGTTTTGGAGACAGGTTCTTGCTATGCAGTTCAGGCTGGCCTTGAGCTCACTTTTAAGCTAGGGCTGGTTTCAAATTCAGAATGACCCTCCTGCTTCAGCCTCCCTAGTGCTGGGATTACAGGTGTGCACCACCACACCTGGCTTCTATTAGAATAACCGAGGTTGGGATTCCAGCTCAGTTGTTTTCTAGCAGCTGGCCTGGCCTCTCCTGCCTCCTCTTCTGACATTGGGCCCATGTGGAGGGCACTATGGGTACAGCCCCTGCCCAGGCCCCTCGGCAGCCCACACTCTCAGGCTGCAGCTGAGGTGTATGGCCGCTGGCCCTGTGGTCCACCTCCACCCTTGCCCTTCTGCCTCCCAGCCTACCAGATCACGCACAGGCTCAACGCCACCACGGCCAGTACCGCCGCAGTGGAAGTGCTGGCACCGAGCGCCCGCCACTACACAGCTGCTGGCCTCAAGCCGGAGTCTGTCTACCTCTTCCGCATCACGGCTCAGACCCGCAAAGGATGGGGAGAGGCCGCCGAAGCCTTAGTAGTGACCACCGAGAAGAGAGGTGGCTGGCCACGAGGGCTGGGGAGGTCTGGGGGGCTCAGGCGGGGAGAATCCCTAGCAAGCCAGGTGCTGGATCCTGTCCTAGTGGAATACTGCTTATGAATCCGGTTGGCCTGGTCGGGAATGGAAAGTAGAAAGTAGACTCCGCCCCTGGAGCGGGTCAGCTAGGGGTCTGTAGACCTGGGGTGGACCCTGGAGTTCCCCTTCCTGGGAGCCCATCCTGCTCTGGCTTTCTAGAGGCAGGTCAGTGACCACTGCCTACCCGGGCTCTGTCCGTGTGGGTGAGGGCCAGGGCTACAGCATGGGGTCTTGGCTGCCCTCCTGCAAGCCCCTCGTCTGAGCTGTGGCTCCTCAGAGCAACTCTGAGGCTTCTGTGCGGTGTGAAAGTGGGCTGAGAAGGGGCGGCGATGTCTGCGCCCCACCTTCCCCTCCTCCACCCTGGAGCTCTGCCTTGGTGGCTCACCCATCCCTTGCTCCACAGACCGCCCTCAACCCCCCAGCAAGCCTGTGGTGCAGCAGGAAGACGTGAAGGCGCGGAGTGTACTGCTGTCCTGGGAGCCAGGCAGTGACGGGCTGTCCCCAGTGCGCTACTACACTGTGCAGACCCGCGAGCTGCCCAGCGGCCGCTGGGCACTGCACTCGGCCTCCGTGAGCCACAATGCCTCCAGCTTCACCGTGGACAGGTGAGGCCGCCCCGCCCTGCATCTCACACCCTTCCTCAGCCAGAACGAGGCACCAGCCAAGGTCCCCTCCTGGGGTAGGAGGCTTTAGAACCCCAGCTCCCAGCCTAGAGTCATTGCCCCCCTCTCTCCAGGAACCCCATTAGGGCTACCTCTTAATTATATCTGGAGCCCAATGTTCCCCCCTAGTGAAGCACCCACCATCCCTCATTAGAGATTCTCCCCAGCAGCCTGTAGCTTCCTCCCACCTTTAATAGGGGAGCAGCATTTCACTCCGAAACTGGCTTCAATTTAATTCCTGGTGGTTGTACTTTTTACATTCCAGTTGACGTGACCCGAAGTTTGAGCAATTCTCCCTGCCTCCCCCGCCCCCATAAATCAAGAAGAAAGACATTTGCTGGGAGAGGAAGCGAGGCTGATGGAGACAAGTCTGGTTGTCTCTTGGGAACTTCTGCCCTCCTAAGTTCACTGAATTCGAGAAAAGAAGGGCAGCTTGCACTGGGAGCCTCAGGGAGGGAAGTCCGCCCTCCTCTGTGGCTGCCTGGCCTCTGAGGTAGAACCTGGGTGGGCCTGTCTCCCTGGGGACATATGGAAGCTAAAGACACCCCAAGGGATGATCCAGGGGTGTGGCCCGGGGGCTTGGGACCCCAGGGCCTGGCCCCAGTTGGACCTTTCATAGAGGAGCGCCTTCTGAACCTGGATGTTCCCACCACTGTGGGGGTTCAGCACCCCTGCCTCCCTTTCCTAAGCGAACGTAGATCAGCAGGACCCCATAGCAGAAGCATGGAACGGGATCTTTGGGGGCACCTAGTCATAGGACCCCACTTCCCTCCACAGGCTGAAGCCCTTCACATCCTACAAGTTCCGAGTGAAGGCGACCAATGACATTGGAGACAGCGAGTTCAGCGAGGAGTCGGAGTCACTGACCACACTGCAGGCTGGTCAGTAGGTCTCCCCACCAGGCACTGGGGAAAGAGGCCTGCACAGGAGAGAGGACACTGGCTGCTGGACCCTTTGCCACCAGGACACAGCCCTCAGGGGGCTTGGGCCACAGGAGCCACTCCAGGGGCTCAGGACCCTAGACCCGGCCTGGCATCCCGAGAGGCTTGTGCCTAAGACCATTGTTTTTAACCAAGACTTTAGTCTCTCCCTCTACTGGTCCTTTGTCCTATAGAAATTGGGTTGCTGAGCTTATGGAGTGACATAAGAGGGATCTGCCTATCAGCCTCAAGTCAGCAGAACCTGGCCTCACCGGCCCTGGGTGGGGCTGCGTCTTCAGGTCTCTGCTCTCACCTGCCTGCCTCTCTCCACAGCCCCTGATGAAGCGCCCACCATCCTCTCAGTGACACCCCACACCACCACCTCCGTGCTGATCCGATGGCAGGTAAGCCAGGCTGGCAGGGTAGGCCCATCTACACTGAGGACTCAGGCTGTGCTCTGGGGTCGCAAAGCCAGCAGACCCTGGTGGGGCTGCCTGGGGCCTCATAGCAAACAGATGCATGAGAAATCCAGGAGCGTACACATCACGGAGTACTCCGCATACACATGCATGCACACACCTATTCTACTGCCCAGAAAATCGCATCTGGCAGGCACCATCACCTCCCCTACTGCAGATGAGGGGCTGAGCTTGACCTCGGGTCACACAGCTCTGTGAGTGGCAGGGTCAAGTTTATTAACCCAGGTCTGCTGAATCCTTGGGAAGAAGAGCACTTGGGAATCCAGGGCCCCCTGAGTGGGTGAAGCCCAGACCCAGGCTCTGCCCATCTGTGAGAGTGAAAACCCATTGTTCAGGTGGAAAAGCTGCCCACTTTCTGGCAGCCATGGCTACTCAGCAGGGGCCCTGGGAATGAACATAGGAAACCTCAGAGCCTAGGCTTCCCAGGGGCCCTGCCCTTCACCACCCTCCAACACCTCTGAAGTCCAGCCCAGGCTCAGCAGGTTGCCCATGGTCACAGGTCCTTGTCCCTGCATCTCAGGAATCAGAGGATAGGTCCCAGCCTACACCTCTGTGCTGCTGACACCCAGTTCCAGTGAGGACATGCCCTTAGGTAGGAATGCCCTAGACACCAAGGATGCTGGAGTCCGTGAGGTTGACCAGGAGAGGGGGCAGGGCGATGCCCGCAGCAGCCAGGGAAGCAATTAAGGAGCTAATAAAAGGCTGAACCATTTCTGCAGGTTTTTTTAAAAGAGCCTTCATAAAAGGTAGTTCCCAGCTTCTCCCAAAGCCTGTTCTTCCATGTTGCTGTGGATGGGAGAAGAAAGCAAAGAAGAAAGTGATAGGCAGGTAGTGCAAGCAGATACATTCGCCCTGAGTATGCTGAGGAGCAGGGAGGGGGCTTTGCATGCAGAATGTGCCAGGACGCATTGCCCAGGGGCCAAGCCAGGCTCCACAGATCTGCGCAGGCTGGAGATGAGGTGGTCAGGTTTCTGCACAAAGGCCAGCTTGTATGTCCAAGCATTGAGCATCTGAGCCCCATAGATGCTGTGTGACCAGGGCCAAGTGCCTTACCATCTGTGAGCCTGCCTTCTACTCTGCTGAGGAGTATGGCATGATGATTCCTGCCCTTCACCTCCCAGGGAGCACCGCAGTGGGGCAGCAGCTTTATAGGAAATGCTTTGTGGAATAAAAACACTCCTGCTTTTCCTGATTGCCTTTCCTAGTGGTGACTCAGGCACTGCCCTGGCGCCACAGCAGGTGTGATGGGGAGAAAGGGTGGAGTGAGACAATGGCAGGCCAGAGCTGCTCCCTGTACCTTGCCCGTTTCCCTACAGCCACCAGCCGAGGACAAGATCAACGGCATCCTCCTGGGCTTCCGCATCAGGTACCGGGAGCTGATCTATGAAGAGCACAAGGGCTTTACTCTTCGAGGCATCAACAACCCTGGGGCCAAGTGGGCAGAGCTTACCTGTGAGTGGCACTGGCTCCCTGGAGTTCCCTGCCTTGCAGCCCCACCTGCCTGTGTGTGTCCTCCCCTACCGTGCATCTGCTGGCTGAGTACTTACTGAGCACCTTCTGCCTGCCCCAGGTTCCCCGGGGGCCACCAGTGATCAGGCTGGCAGGATCCCCCCACCCTCTTAAAGTAACACCATTGGCCACTGCGGGGGTGGGAGGGTGCCAGGACAACCCAAAGCCAGAGTCAGGGATGGATTCCCTGGCATTGTCACTAACACAAGAATAGGTCCAGATTCCCCAGTTCACAGCCTCAAGGTCAAGAGTCCACCAAGGAGGAGCCTTTGAGGCTTCTGTCATTCCTGAAACCTCTGGTTCCTGAAGCGCTCACTCGCTTCTCTGTCTGGGAGCCCAGGAATCCAGTCTGCCTCTAGGAAAGGAAAGCTCAGGGAGTTCCAGAAATCCAGGGAAGGCTCTGGTTGGACTTTTGGGCTAGGATCCTTGGGTGTTCGGGTAGGACAGCTTGGCCTGGGGGCCTGGGAGACTGAAGGCAAGGAGGCTAGCAGGAAGCTGAGCCGGGGCAGCCTGGGAGTGGCATCGAAGGCCTGTCTGGCAGCAGGCACACTGTGGGCAGCAACTCTGCAGGGCTCCGTGTTGGCTGATGGAGGAGAGGGGGAAACAGGCAAGAAAGAGGGGAGCATGGAGGCTTTGGGCACCCCCTGATGCCCGCTGCTGCTTCCCGGCCTTCTTGGAAGGCTTTGTGCCTTGTGTTCAGGCAAATGTTAGCAGGCCGGATGATGGAATGTCTTGCAAGGGTTTATTAATAGAAAAACTCGAAAGTACTTGAGATCCAACAGCGTTCCTTATTTTCTGATATTTATTTTTTATTTTTGGCCGACGTGTGCTGGTGGTTGTGATTTTATACAGCCAGTGTGTAATACAGTCATATTTCCTGGTAGTAAAATTGTTTCTGGTTCCTATGAGGAATTTAATGACTCTAGTATTTCATGGTGCTTTTCCGGGGAACCTCCACCTTGAGACAAGGGAGTGAGTTGGGACTAGATGGTCCCCAGGACTCTTAGGCTCCCAGGGGTGTCCTGTGACCTTAGGCCCACAAACACCTGGAAAGGGACAGTGGGGTCCTACAGCTGCCCCTATCCTGGCCCCAAGCTCAGTATTAGGAATCTGCACACTCTCTACTCAGCCTGCTCAGCAGCCCTCTCCCATCATTCTGCATTCAGTGGGGGGCTTTTGTGGGGGGTTCTGTGTAACTAACCACTCTGTCTGCTGTCTCCCTTGGGGGGCCTCCTGCTCCCTCACCCCAGCCCTGTATGCCATGCGGAACCTGAGCCGGCCCAGCCTCACGCAGTACGAGCTGGACAGTAAGTCTCCTTGCATGGTGGCCCCACTGCACCCCAAGCCTCCTGGGGGACAGGAGTGTGTCCCAGAGGATACCTATCCCTCCCCCTCCAGGGCTCAGGGTTCATTTGACATAGGACTAAACACACCAAGCAGGGGCAGGTTCCAGGAGGTCTCCTCCAAGGGTGCCCTCCTCAGGGGTGTGGAAAGGGAGCCCCCTTACTTTTGCAGGCAGTCGGGTACAGTGACAGATTCTGCAGTACATGCTGTTGGGCAGTTTGGGTAGGCCAGCCTCCGAGTAGCTGCTGCCTGTCCCACCACACCAAACACAGCCTGGCCCCACTGCTGTGTCTTCCTGTCCTGAACTGTTCCTCCTGTGAGCACTGGGCCGGTCTTCAGCAGCTCAACCCTGTGCAGCTCACTCCACCTTGCTCTTACCTCTGAAGCCCCAGGGGTTTCCCCCACACACACACAGTCTGAGGCTCAGCTCAAAGGCTCCAGCTCAGGCCTGAACTACTCGCCTGCTTCTCTGCTCAGCCGCAAGCTGCACAAACACCCAGCGAGGGTGGCTCCTCATTGAGTGCTGTCCAAGGCCAGAGCTTCCACCCTGGAGAAGGAGAGGAGAGGGAGCCAGGGAGAGAAGGGTGCAGAGGGTGGGGACCCTGGATAGTCAGAACAGAAACACCCAGGGCTGAAGGTACAGGTGCTTTAGCAGAATAAGGTGCACAGAAGGGCAAGGGGCAGATGGGGGCGAAGGTGGTAGGTAAGGTCCTAGGCCCTTTGTCCTTCCAGATAGCCGGAGCACAGCTTGCGTCCCCACCTGGGGTGACTGGGTCCCCTTGCTGACCAGCTTCTATCCCCCAGCTTCTTCCAAGTGTCCTCACTCAAGCACCCCAAACTTAGTGATGCGTGGGACTTTTCAACCCAGAATTCAGATCTGATAAGCCCCCTCCTCACCAGGGCCAAGCACCTCTGTGAGTTGGGGGACAGGAGGGCAGCTCAGAGGTACAGCACGTGGTTAGCATGCGAGAGTCCCTGGGTTCAATCTCCAGAACCCAAAAAACAAAGTTAAATTAAATGAAAATAAGAGCTGGTTAATGGGCACCGACTGTGACAAGGCTGGGAGCACTCCCGTCTGCCCTGGTAGGAGGGAAGACAGGGACGGCCTGTTTGTGGTCTGGGTTCCCTAGGACAGTTCAGGTCGACAACAGTCTTCTTAGAATAAATGCTGACGCTGCCCCTTCCATCTCCAAAGTGTCGAGCTGCACTGAACACTGAACAGTCACCCTAACCCTAGAGGCCAACCTGCAGCAGCACCTCATGTCCAGGTTGGCAGGGTGGGATGCTGAGGTCCCTCCGGGTACCAACGCTGACCTGTCGTCTGCTGAACTGTCACGCTGGGAACTGGAGCTGCAGGGCCACTTCGTCCCCTCCCCTGCCTGCAGTCCCCACAGTGGCTCCAGCCACGGGGCAGTGACCTCCGTGTTCCTCCTCCTCTCTCTCATGCATAGACCTCAGCAAGCACAAGCGGTATGAGATCCGGATGAGTGTGTACAACGCGGTGGGTGAGGGCCCACTGAGCCCCCCACAGGAGGTCTTTGTGGGGGAGGCAGGTGAGTGCGTGTGTCCCCGTGAGGCCCATGCTGGGGAGGTGCGAGGCTCAGGTCCACCCACACCCCAGAATCTATTCACTCACCACCCTCTGTACCCCCCCACAGTGCCCACAGCAGCACCCCGCAATGTAGCTGTCCATAGCGCCACGGCCACACAGCTGGATGTGACATGGGAAGCGCCCCCTCGTGAGAGCCAGAATGGAGACCTCCAGGGCTACAAGGTATGGAGGGGGCAGAGGGGCCACCTGGGGTCCTGGACAATGAGGCGCCCCTTGGACTCTGCACGGTTAGCCTGCTGCCCTGGCCCTCTGTACACACAGTACAGCTGAAGCAAAACACACTCCTCTTCTCTGTGGCCCCGTGAGCAGTCTGGGTTCAGATGCCAGAAACTCTGCGCATCTCAGTTTGCAGTGCCCCTGAGCAGCGCCCGCCCCACCCCATGAACGCCAGCCCCTTACTTAAGACGTCCTCCGAGGGCGCCCCCTAGTGACAGTGCCGGTACTCATGAGATGGCTGACAGCTAAGCTTGGCTAGTTGTTTGAGAATCTCTACTTAACATCTTTTCTGACTTTGGGTGAAGTCAAGTGTTATGATGGGGTACAGTTCACCTCTCCTACTTACTGAACCCTCTAGAACCCTCAGTCCTTTTAAAAGCCATGGAGAGGGCTGGGGAGATGGCTCAGTGCGCAAGGTCCTGAGTTCAACCCCCAGTACCGAAAAAAAATAAAATAAAAATAAAAGCCATGGAGAGCCTTGGGTTATGAGCTTTGAGGCTCATTTTACAGATGAGGAAACTGAGGCCCAGTTTAGGTGCCCTGGCAAGACCCCAGAATAGCAGGTAGTAGAATCAAGACTTCGCAGGGCTGGAGAGGAGGCTGAGCACACAGTCCCTAGAGTTCCTGTAGGAAGGAAAAAGGAAAAGGTTGAGAAGAGGAAAAAAGAGAAAGCTGGTGTAGTGGCACATACCTATAATCCTAGCGCTGTGGGAAGCCAAGGCAAGAGGACTGAGAATTCAAGACCCTGTCTCAAAAATTTAAAAACGTTAAGGAGCATTGGGAGTGTGGCTTAGCTTGGAGACATGGGGATCAAACCCCAGTATCACAAGAAACAGAAACAAAGAAAAGGAAAAAAAAAAAGCCAGATCCGTGGGACTCTGATTCCTAGGGCCCAGATGCTCTCCCAGAGAACAGGTGTGGTACAGTGGCCACAGGGGTGGATGTGACAGCACAGACACCTGTGGTTTCCCTGGAAACTGAGTCAGCCAAGGCGAGGGCCACACTGTTAGGACAGCAGCCCCGGCGAAGGCGGGTCCAGTGCAGGAGCCTCTGCCATTTGGGCAGGGAGGGAGGCAGCACCTGCCAGGGAAGCTCTGAGGGCGGATGGCACCCTCAAGACTTTGCCCAGGAGTGCCAGCTGGGAAACTAAATATTGCTCCCCTAGCATATGCCTCCCAAGGGAGGGGAGGCGCTGGGCGGAGTCTGCAACGGTTTGGCAGCCACCAGACTGTCGCGGTTGGAAAGTTGCAAGTTAATATACAGATCCAGGAAATGTGTGGGCATCTAGGCACTGTGTGGAACAGAGCCGGCTATGTGGTCCAGAAAATGTCGTCTACTGGAGCCGTGCTTAGGGGGCCTCCCAGTTGTACGTGAACATCAGCATCCACCCCGTTAACACTGATGTGTATTATGTTATCAGACAGCGAGCGAGCCAGCGTGGCCAACATGACCCCGCCGTAAGCTCAGGCCCAGCTGCAGCCTGGAGAAATGCTATGCCCAGTCCTGAAATCCCGCCTCTCCGTTACTCGATGGCACCATTTATGGAGCAGTTATTTTGTGCCCTCCACTAGGTGCAGTACTGGGAATAGAGCAGCATGCAAAAAGAAGACATGAGTGGGGCCGGGGAGACGGCTCAGTGGAATAAGCGCTTCCCTGGCAAGCGCAAGGGCCTGAGTTCAATCCCCAGTTCCACCAAAAAATCTAGTATGCCGTCCTGCAAAAAAAAAAAAAAAAAAAAAAAAGACATGAGCAAAAATCTTAGGAAGGAAATTAGGATTTACAAAGTAAGCCATGCTGCCAGATGGTGGGGAAAGGAAGCAGGTGAGCCGAGAGCTAGATGCAGGCTGAGTTTTTAAATAGAGCTGTTAGAAAAGAGATACAGAAGGTGATATCTGAGCAAAAACCTAAATAAATACAGAGCATAAATCCAACAGAACATTCCAGAAAGAAATAAAAGAAGAGCAAAGTGAGTCCTTGTTTTCAAGTGTAGATAAGCCAGCAAAAAGCCCTAGCACCCCCAGGGGAGCATGGTGGAAGGGCAGCAAGCTGCCAGAGCCCCTCAAGCCCTGGGGGTCTTGGGTGGCTACTCCTAGGGAGGGCTTGGGCTGAGGAGAGACTCCGCAGAGGACTTGGCCTTCCACGGGCTCCCTCTGGTTGCTGTGCTGCCTTCCGTCTGAAGTGGGCCATCACAAAAAGCCAAGGTGGCAGCGTCTCGACCTCAGCTGCCCAGAGGTGGGTCAAGCCTGGGAGAGAAGGAGTTGCTCTCAGATGACAGGTTAAAGGGCAGCTCCAAGGTCAAGAAGCATCAGGAAGTAGAGCTGCCAGTTAGGAGGCGGGAAAAGGAGGAGGAAAGTGGGGCACATCTCCCCATGTGGGTGTCTGAGAGCACAGCACAAAGCTGGAGCTGCGACCGGAGGTCAGGAGGGGAGGGCTCAGCCAGAGCCGCGGTGGGCCGTGGAGCCCTCGCAGGGAGGCGTTGCCAAAAGTACACAGATAAGACAGTGAGAGAAGTCTGAAACCTGGAGCCTTGGGACCACGACAAGTGCATAATGACGGTGACTCAGAGTCCCAGGGAGGAAGGGAAGAGTCGGAGGCCAACTCCAGGAGGGATGGGGCGGGCGGCAGTCTGGGAAGCAGTTGTACCAGGTGTTCAGAGAAATGTGCAGCCAATCTAGGTGTGCAGGCCTTGTGTCACGGTTTGGGGTTTTGCAAGGGGAACAGTACAATACGGGACACATTTCATATGTTTATTTTATAACGAATCACCCAAAGAATCATATACCAAGAGTGTAGGAAATCTGTCCACACACTAAAGACCTAAGACTCCAGCTGAGGGCCTGGATCCTAATATCCTGCGTGAGTTCAGTTGCAAACCCAGAGCCCGTAACAGTGCCTCCCGCAAGTCCAAGGAGGCCTAGAGCCCATGACAAAGTCTCATGCAGGCCCGCTTCATGGGTCTGTGCTGGAAAGGCCGGTCAGTGGTGGAAGCTAGAAAGTCTGTCACCAGGATGAAGGATGTGTAGCAGGCTGAGGAATTGGCACTGGAGGCAGGAGGCAACACTCAGGGTAAGCACCAGAGCTCCCCTGAAAGGCACCACAGCCGTCCTCAGCAACAGCGAGATCCCGAGCTCCTTCAGCGATGAGGAAAGCTGAGCTCCCATCAGGAAAGCCAACCCGACAAGCTTCTCCATGAGGCTGAGCAGTGAAGCATCTTCCCCTCCGGAGCCGGGAAGCGATGCTCAAGATGAGGACCAGAACTCCCCCAACTTCGTGAACGTCAGCCATCCTCAGAGACAATGAGTTCCCGAGCTCCTCCTCCAACAAGAACATCTAAGTTTTTTTTAAAAAAAAAAGAAAAGAACGTCCAAGTTCACCAGGAAAGCCGGCATGACAAGGTCCTCCAGCAGCACAGCCCAAGAGAACCAGCAGCTTCCAACAGCTCCCACAGCTTCTCCAAACAGCTTCCCTGTCAGCCTCTTGACAGCTTTTCCAGTTCTGCCTCTTACACTGCTGGCAACAACCCTCAGATGGACCTCAGATGGGCCTCCCACGCCCAGCCCCACCCTGGTTCAGTTCAGCTGGGCATAATGAGTTGACCACCAGTTAACAATCCACTAAGCCTTGATTGGCTTTAATTAAAATTCTAAAATCAGGACAAACAATTGGCTTCAGTGGGGAATTGCCAACTTGAAACCCGCTGACCTAACTGGCCTTCCATCTTTTTGTAAATAAAGGTTATTTTAGAGACCCATCCATGCGTATTTATCAGTTGCCCATGGCTGCTTTTGTACAAGGAAGCTGGATGTGGTGGTACGTGCCTGTAATTGCAGCTACTCGGGAGGCTGAGGCAGGAGGAGCACAAGTTCAAGGTCAGCCTGGGCAACTTGGCACAACCCACGTCGCAGAATTCAAAAGGGCTAAGAATGTAGCTTAGTGGTAGAGTGCCCCAGGTTCAATCCCCAGTTCCACACGCATGCGTGCATGCGCACGCATACGCAGAAGGGACAGAGTGGAGTAGTTGCAACAGAGACTTAAGGGCTGGCCTGCAAAGCCTAAGATACTAACTATCTCCCCCTTTTTAGAAGGAAGTTTGTGAAGCCCTGGATATTGCATGGGTAATGTGGGGTTCACGGGATTTTGATGGAGAGGTGCGTACTGGGAAATGCATGGAGCAGGTTCAGGAGAAAAGGCACTGTCATCTGCAGAGGGAGTTTGAAGATGAAAGAAATCACAATTTGAGGGCTGGCCAGATAGCTCAGCGGACTAAAGCCCCTGCTTAGGTAGGCACAGCGACCGGGGTTTGATCTCCCGAGTGCCGTGCCAGCCCCACCCCTGGGGCGCGCTGAGACAGCAGTTGAGACTGGGGGTGATGGCGCGCGCCTGTAATCCCAGCACCTGGGAGGCTGCAAGCAGGAGGATCGCTATGAGTCCAGTCTGTGTAGTGAGACCCCGTAGACCTTGCATTAAATATATTTAATAAAAAAAAAAGAAAGAAAGAAATCACAATTTGTTTCTGTGCAGGTAAAAACAATACTGGATGGAGGGAAAGTTTGGTCATGTGGGGGAGAGGGGAAGCTACCGTGGAGCAGCAATGTGGAGTAGGTGAGGGGGTGCACTGCAGTACCCAACTCAGGGTGGCCTTAAGGGCAGTGGCCAGCGTAGCCACTGTGGCCAGACTCCAACAATGGAGGCTCAGCAGATTGCTTCCCTCTCCCGGTACTAGTCCTCACTGGGAATGAGGTTGAGGGAGAAGGACAGAGGGAAAAGAACACAGAAGCAACCACACTGTCCCCTTCCATGTCTCCAGGTTCCTAGCCACATATTCAGCCAAGTGGGGATCAAAGTTACGCACTGAAAAAAAAAAGGTGGTGTCTCTACTGAACATGTACCCGCTTTGTTCTGGTTACTATCCCTTAAATAAAGCAGCGTAACAACTATTCACAGAGCATTTACACTGCATGAGTGATAATTAGTCATCCAGAGATGATTTTTAGATATATGGGCAGATTGCCCGAGTTCAGATCCTGTGCCCTTTGATTCCGGGACCTGAGCATTGTGGCCTTCAGCAGCCCTGGGGATCTCAGAACCCATCTCCGAGGACAAGGAGGATGGCTGTGTGTGATCGTGCATTGCACGGACAAGGGCGGTGTGGCACACTGGCCTCCCCTTGGGCTGCGTTTGTGAGCTTAGAGCCTGATTCTGCCCCCAGCCAGTCAGCTGTGTGTAGCATGGGCAGGTTCCACCAGCGCAGGAGCTCAGCCTATTGTGTAAGACGGAGCAAGACAGGAGAGGAACACAGCAGAAGACACCATCAGCAGGGTGAGGGGACAGGGGACAGAAGAGTAGGGAGTATTTGCGAGGCCTGCATCTGATAAAGAGCTAAGAAGGGGCCGGGGAGATGGCTCAGTAGAATAAGCTCTTGCCTGGCAAGCGCAAGGACCTGAGTTCAATCCCTGGTTTCACCAAAAAAAAAAGAAGAGCTAAGAGCCAAAATGCACAAGAAGTCGATACAACTGGAGAGTGAGAAAACAGCCCAGCGTCAAAGTGGAACAGAGGACCCCAACCGACCATTTCTCAAAAGAAAACAAATAAATGGCCAGCAGGTGTCAGTCTCACTCACCCGGAAGTGCAAAGCAAAAAAAAACGACAACAATGTGTGTGTGGCCTCCCCCTTTGAGGAAGGCTGCTGCCGCAACTCGGAAAGATGATAAGTGATATGGAAAAACTAGAACTCACAGATGCTCCGGCAGGAGTATAAAATGACACGGCCGCGTGGAAAACTGTAGGAAGGTCCTCAAAGCAATAAAAACAGAATTGCCTTAAGATCCAGAAGTAGGGGCCGGGGAGATGGCTCAGTAGAATAAGCGCTTGCCTGGCAAGTGCAAGGGTCTGAGTTCAATCCCCGGTTCTGGAAAAAAAAAAAAAAGATCCAGAAGTGCTGGGCTGGTGAGATAGCTCAGTGAACTAAGTGCCTGCTTTGGCAAGCTCAGGGACTGGGGTTCGATCCCCAGCACCGCATGCTGCACCGGCCCCGCCCCTGGGCAGCTTGAGCCAGCAACTGAGACCGGGCGTGGTGGCACACGCCTGTAATCCCAGCGTTGGGGAGGCTGAAAACAGAATCACTATAAGTCCAAGCTAGGTAGTGAGACCCTGTACCAAATACATTTTAAAAAATAAAAATCCAGACCATGCTGAAACCAGGACCTGGACATTTTTTAAAATGTTGTTTTTCATCTTTTCTTTACTTACTTGATACAGAGTCTCACTGCACAGTGTGAACTCACGGTGATCCTCCTGTCTCAGTCCCCTCCGTGCTGGGATTACAGGCATGCATCGCCACGCCCGGTTTCAGTGGCCAGCAGGGCATGAGACCGGCTTGGCATGTGGTGCTGGGGATTGAGCCTGGATCCTTCATGCTTGCCAGGCAGGTGCTTAGACTGCTGAGCCGCCTTCCCAGCCCCAGGACCTGGCTATGTTTGCGCTTCTATTTTGGGTGCAGCATAATCACAACAGCTAAGATACAGAAACAGCCTGGATGTTTTGGGAGCGAACAAATGGATAAAGACAACGTCAGGGGTGTGTGTGGGTGTGTGTGTGTGTGTGTGTGTGTGTGTGTACACATGAGGATACTGTTCAGCTTTAAAAAAGAAGAAATGCCTGATGTTCGCAGCAACACGAACCAGGAAGGCATCACGTTAAGTGAAAGGCGCCCAAGACAGACAAATACTGTGTGATCTGATTTATGCACAGAATCTAGACTCCTCAGAATCTGTGGGGGAAGAAAAAACAACAGTGTGACTTGGCTGGGAAGAATAGGCCATTTGCTCAAAGGGTACAAAGTATCAGCTACACAAGCTGCGTGCATTTGGAGCTGTAGGGCCTGGGAGATAGCTCCGCAGTCTAAGTACCTGCCTGGCAAGCGCAAAGACCTGGATTCGATCCCAAGGACCACATGTCTTGCCCACCCCAAAAAACCACGCGTGGTGGTGCATGCCTGTAGTCAGCCCTGGGGAGGCTGAGACAGGAGGATCACTATGAGTCCGAGCTGTATAGTGAGACCCTGTAGCAAATAAAAGAATAAAAAACACTTGGGGGGGGGGCTGTAATGTACAGCGTGGTGACAGTAGGTCACTGCACTGTGCTGTGCACTGAAACTAGCTAAGAGGACAGATCTCCCTGTCCTTTGGCCCCAAATAAAGGGTAACTCTGGGGTGATGGGTATGTTCATCACCGTGAGCACTGTGATCACACCAACTTGGGCACCTTAACTATGTGCAATATTTATTGGTCAGCTGTACCCCAGTAAAGCAAAATATAGACGAGAAAGGGCAAGCATTTGAGAATAGTAAAAGGAGAGTGGTAATTGTGATCCCGCCTTCCTGCGCCAGCGCTGCCTACCTAGGGCATTTATCCCTCCAGCAAATGTTTACTAAGCACCAACAAGGTGCCAGGTGTTGCTCCAGGTGGCTGGGCCACCAGCACACGAACAGACCAGGGTGAGCAGGCAGCCTGGTGGATGCCTGCTTACCTGTTGGATACTGGTTTTTTGTTTTTGTTTTTGGACAGGCTCAGCCCACGCTGAGGGCAGGGCTGACACAGCACATAGTGCTGGGGATCGAACCACTGTCTGCTGCGGCTGCCTCCGCTTGCCCAAGTAGGCGCTTTAGACCACTGAGCTATCTTGCTGGCCCCCTGTTGGGTAGTTACCTAGCTCTGAGCTCCTCAGTGCCATTTGCAAAGTCCCTCTTACTGTAAATTGGCATGTAGCAAAAGCCCACTGAGTGTAGGGCACGCTTTTGCCATGGACATCCCATTTGTATATATGCTGTCCTGGTCCTGCACGCCACCTGCCCTGCCCAAGAGCACAGCCCCAGCCGCTGTGAGAAAGACCCGCTGTCCCCTGCCTCTTTCCTCTCTCTAGCGATGAGCCCCTCCAGGCATGGTGTCCACACATCCTGAGCATCCTTGATTCAGCGCCCTGTCCTGACCTCTGGTCTCCTTTCCGTCTGCACCCATTCCTCTGGTTGAGCCCTTCATAGCAGAATTCCACAAAAGAACTATGCAGGCATAATGGCACATGCCTGTTAGCCCAGCGCTCTGGGAGGCCGAGGCAGAAGGGCTGCAAATGTGCGCCCAGCCTGGGTGCCTAAGGAGTTCAGCAAGACCCTGCCTCAAAACGTGAAAAGGGATGAGGGTGGGAGTTCAGTGGGAAGACCCTGAGTTCAATCCTCAGTGCCAGAAAGACGTACAAGAAACAGGAATCCTTGCCTCCAACTCCTTCTCATTCTCTGGTGAGCCTGCTCCACCTAGGTTGCTGTCCCCAGACGCGTGCCCCCTGCCAGTGCTGCTGACGGTTCCAGCTCTGTTGGTCGGTGTTCAGATGGCTTGGCTTGTCCCAAAGCCTGGGGCACAGTGCCTCCCTCCCCGCTACTTCAATGCTTGCCTCCCGTACTGCCCTGGCTAGCTGGGCCTTCCACTCTGCTTTGCCATTCTAGCTCCTTTTCCAGCCAATGAAAGCCAAAGGCCCCCAAATCAATCCATGGTCTCTGTCTCGGAGACCCATTCGTTCTCCTGGTGCATGCTCTACCAGCGCCGCCTATGTGTACATGACTTGCAGGCCTCTGACACGGTGCAGACCTGTACCCTCAGCACTGAATGCAGCAGGAACCCTGTGGACCACCGCGTCCCCGGCGCCATGGATAGATGGGCAAGCGAGTGGGTTTAGGAATGATCACCTCAGTGCTCGCTATTCTGCCCTTTTGCTGCAAAAGAAAAAAGGAGGGACCGGGGAGATGGCTCAGTAAAATAAGCACTGACCTGCCAAGCGCAAAGGTCTGAATTCAATCCTCAGTTCCTCAAAAAAAAAAAAAAAGGAAAGCCAGGCTCTCGTGATGGCAAAATGTCCTAACCACTGCCCTTCACACATGATGGAAGGGACGCACTTGATGAGCTGTTGCTCTCTTAAGGGCTTCCTCTGGAGAAACGGAAAATATAGTTTACAGATGAGCCTTCAGCCAGCAGGTGGTGCCAAATGATCTCTAATCCTCCAGGCGTTTGCGGCCTTTTCAGGTTTCGGGATGGCCTTAGCTCCAAAACTAGTTTAATTAAGAATCTTCCATGTGTGGCTAACAGGGGGCACTAACCTCGGCTAGTGTGCCTGACTTGGGATCACCGTGGGGCATTTTCTGCATCCCTGGCCTAAGACCTTCCATGGGCACAAGGTGCCTTCAGGCACCAGCAGAGTGTTTGCCAGGAGCAGCGCCACATCTTCTCCTGCCCTGTGGCCCCTCCCCTTGGTTTGATCCTGGGGGAGCGGGGCATCTTTAACCCACCATACACAGAACAAAACGTCAGCAAGAGAAACTCCCCACCCAGGTCACACTGCTGCTGAGGGATTCAGCCGGAAACCAGGCCTGGGCGGCTTGCTGCCTTAGCCCTGCCTGAGTTCCCCTGCAGCTTTCCCTGCAGCAGGCCTGGGGGCTGAGCCTCTGTCTCCCAGTCTTCAGGTGACGCCTACAGCTGCAGCGCTTGGCCCCGGCTGAGGTCCCACAGGACACAAGCATTATTTTCCTCCAGCGTCTCTGCTCTGAGGCCCATGAGTTAGTGCTAAATCCCACGGGCACCGCAGCGCCCCAGGACCTGCGAAGACTGTGTGCTTATGGCATGTACAGCTTCACAGAGGCTGGAACCTTGGCTGTGAAAAGGAGGGTTCTTGGGGCCGGGGAGATGGCTCTGTGGAATAAGCGCTTCCCTGGCAAGCTCAAGGGCCTGAGTTCAATCCCCGATTCCACAAAAAAAAAGGAAGGTTCTGGAAGGGTTCCCAGAACAGCTCCTGAGTACCTCTCTCCAGTTTCCTGGGCCAGGCACGGGCAGGAGGGAAGCCCCATATCTTCATACCCTTCAATCCCACAATCCTCTTGGCCTACAGATTTATTTTTGGGAAGCCCAGCGGCAGAATCTCACCGAGCGAGTGAAGACACTTTTCTTGGTGGAGAATGGTGTGAAGCTCAAGAACCTGACGGGTTACACTGCCTACATGGTCACTGTGGCGGCCTTCAATGCTGCAGGGGACGGACCACGGAGCGCCCCTGTCCGGGGCCAGACTCAGCAAGCAGGTGTGGAAGGGCAACTCTGTGTCCTGGGTGCAGGAGGACCCACCTGGGGCTTGGGGGGCGTGGAAGCAGCTGTGTCCTCCCTCCAGGCACCTGGGCTTGGTACCTGGACCCCCGTGAGACACCCAGCAGAGTGGGAGCTGCAGCCCACAATGAGGGCTCCAAGACATGAGTGCCTAGAAAAGAAGAGCTGTCCCCATAGACCCAGGGAACCCCCAGACCATCTGTTCATTCTACCATTGTTTGCTGTGCTTGATTCTGGGGACATAACAGGGGCCTATGTGGTCCCCCTCTCCTTATTCTTATGATCTTATGATGTGGATCATAAACCAGTAAATGCACGAGTTTGCCACAGGGACGCTGTGGACAAGAGATCTGAGGGTGGAAGAGGCAGGAGCGCCTGGGGGAGGCCTGGCGTGGGACAGGTCCACACAGAGCCTTCACCGGACGGTGACATCTGCGCTGAGATGGAGGCCTGCAGCGCAGGAAGTTCAGGAGCAGGGCGGGTTCTGGGCAGAGAGCAGCAGGTGCACAGGCCTGGAGGCTGGGCGAGGAGAGCCAGGGACTCTCCAGAAAGTGAGGTGACACTCTGGTCTCCAAGGGCCTGGGGCCTGGGATTAAAGTGAGGTGAGGAGGGAAACCCCTGGAAAGCCCTAGGAGTAGAGAAACAGGACCCGGTTTATGTGCTGGGAAATAATCACTCTGAGACTGGGTGGGAGGAAAGGGGCGGGGAGGGCAAGGCAGAGGAGAGGGCAAAGGTGAAGACCCTGCTGCCAGGCACAGTGGAGCAAGCCCTGTGGCAGCGTTGTCCCAAGCCACTCCTCAGGCAGTACCACTCTGGGTGCCTGATGGTGCAGAATCACCCCCACTACACAATAAGCAAGGGTCCCTGGGAAACATGTTTCTTACCCAGAGTCCCCCACGGGTCAAGGAAAAGCGATGCTTGCACCCAGGATTCCTGAGAGAACCAAGAGTTCTCTCTGTCTCCCCC